TATCGCTAAGTGCTAAACTCAAATTTTCATCTTGTTGAAGTCATTATGCGTTCTGATCGAGATCATATGATTGCTAAGGTCAATAAATTATATTGTCCAAAACATTTAATAAAAGGATAGTACATACCCCCATTTCAATTTGGGTTTTTTCTTTTTTGCTTTCAACTCTTCATGCTGTAAACAACATACAATTATTCAGAAATGCTGAAATAATTTGATTAAAGATATTGTTTATAATTTAATTAATACCTTACTTGTTTTCTCTCATCGTACTCTTTACGTTCTATCGCTTCTCGCATCGTATTTTCATAATTTCTTTGTGCACTTTGATCGCTTATTTTTGAAGCTACTTCTAAGTTCCCACTTTCTACAGCTTTATCAAGTTCTTTCACCAATCGACCCTTCACAATTAAAAGATGTTAATAACATTATAAATTATATGGGTATGGATCAACTAAAAGGGTGCCTATAGTTTTTGTATTTTATTCAGTAATATAGTTAATTCACTTTTGCAAAAAATGTCATAACTCCCTTTTAATTGACCGAGCCCCATATGGTATATTGAAAAAATATTTTAGTAACCTACGGAGCTATTATTGGAGGAATCATTTGATCTAAAAGGTGTATTGATGATTGTGAAGTAGTTTTCTCTGATGCAGAGGAAGAATCCGAATGTTTTAGAGCCAATTTGTTCACCATTTCTTCTTGACAGTTTGTGGACAAGCGATCGTCTTTTGAGGTTCCTGACCATTTAATAAGCTATCGATCACTTTATGAATTCCGCCGTAAAAGCTTTCCAATTTCGAACGTTTTCATATTGGCTTGCTTCTTTCAGTAAAGATTTTGGTATCAGATCATTAATAATAGGATAAATTCGATCCAGGTCCAATATAAATGAGAGTAGTGGGTTATTAAATTAGAGCATTATCCATGCTGAATAAAAGTGTTTAAATACTAAGACATAATAACCTTCATCTAAGGCAGCTTCCATATGATGTTCCGAATCTTTTCTGAGATTATCCATGAAGTAATAAAAGGTTATTCCCACCGGTATTGTTCATCACACCCTTCCATAACATCTGGATTTCTTGAAAGTCTTTCTCTTCCTGGTGATTATTAAGAAAAGAAACTTACATCAAAAGAATTTTAAGGGGCCACAAGCAAAGCAAGCCTTACTAGGATCCCAAAAGAGATATTATATTCAAATTTGACAACCAAATACCCCTCAGGACCACGAGCAAAGTAAGCCGTACTAGGATCCCAAGAGATACTATATTCAAATTGACAACCAAATACCCGGGACCACAAGCAAAGCAAGACGTACTAGGATCCCCTTAGGACCACGAGGAAAGCAAGCCTTACTAGGATCCCAAAAGAGTTACTATATTCAAATTCGACAACCAAATACCTGGGACACAAGCAAAGCAAACCGTACTAGGATCCCCTCAGGATCACGAGCAAAGCAAGCCGTACTAGGATCCCCTCAGGACCACGAGGAAAGCAAGCCGTACTAGGATCCCAAGAGATACTATATTCAAATTGACAACCAAATACCTGGGACCACAAGCAAAGCA